AGCCAGTGGGCCTGGATTGAGAGAGGGATATCCGACTGCCGGTTTAGGCCGAATCCCACAGAGATCCCCAATTGGAGAGGGTGCAGGCTGGACTGAGGGAACCACCACGTCCCGCCCACCCCCACCCCCCCGTGCACGAATTTCATGCATTGGGCCACTAGTCTATATCATAAAAGGCCCGTGGTCGTAATGCTGTAACAACCAAATGAGCAGTAGCTCTCATGGTAGGCGGGACGCGAGCTATGAGCAGCGATGGGAAGGGAGGCCAGCTGAGGCAAGCAGAAGCACTGGTGCACGATTTTGTGCGCACTGGGCCTCTAGTGAGTAAATAAACAGGAACACACATGATATAGAGAAGAAGTAAATTATAAGACCTGAGTTCTAAAACAAAATATTAACACATATGTAAGACTGGTAACCAAATTATAGCCAAACCTCATTTATACTTTTTTTAAATATATTTTATTGAATTTTTTACAGAGAGGAAGGGAGAGAGATAGAGAGTTAGAAACATCAATGAGAGAGAAACATGGATCAGCTGCCTCCCGCACATCCCCCACTGGTACATGCCCTTGACCAGAATCAAACCTGGGACCTTTCAGTCCTCAAGCCGACGCTCTATCCACTGAGTCAAACCAGCTTTGGCCTCATTTATACTTTTAAGTAGACTTTGTTTTTACCATATTTCTGATGAAAATCTGAATTTATTTTGATTTTAGCATGTATATTATGTTTCACTGTGTGCCAGTCACAGTTCTAAGCCTTTTGTATTTTAAATTACTTATTCCTTATAACAACCTTATTTTGCTTTATTTTACAAATTAAATTAACAAGCTGGGGTGAACTGCGAAGAGGGCACAGAGACTAAGCAACTTGTGCAAGGTTACCCCCAGGAAGTCTGGCTCCACAGTCTATAATTGTACGATTACTGTATACTGTACCTAAAGATATGTACATCACTGACAAAATGTGAATAAATTAAAAATAAGGGATGTTTATTGAAAGCTCAGTCATTATTATAAGTTTGCCTTATTAATATGTGTTACAATACAGCAAGAAACTAAGGAAGCTGCTAATATATAGAGAGCCCCTATATTGAATGGTACCAAAATGCCCAGCTTTTGTTGTCATTTCTTTCCCTCTTTTTTTCCCTTGATATCACACTATTGTTTACCACTTAGGACTATCATTATGCCTAAAATGTCTTTATCTTTTTCAAGTTACTGGGAACTGAGAACAATGTATTAAATATGTATTAAATAAAAGCCAACAAGACACTGAGGAGTTTCTTTTATAAAATTTCCTTAAGTTTTACTCCAATAAATGATCTTGTATTGGAGATCAGGAATGAATTCAATTAAGTTGAGGCTGTTCTAAGTCTGATCCACAGATAAATCAGACATTACCATATAATTTCTGCTGATTGCATACAACAGTCATGATAGGATCCTAAAAGCTGACAATACTCCCCCAAAAGTGCCTTAAGTCAGCCCAAGTTTCAATACTAGAAAATATCATAGCATTTCTTATAACAATGATCAACACATAATTTCTCTTACCTTTGCGCAGCCCAAAAATCCCAGGGAAATGGCAACCCTAGCTCGTAGATCTGGCCTGTCTTTGGGCCACACATAAGAAAGCATTGCTTTTATGATTTTCCGAGTATCAACATCTTTTAACTGTTGAGAGAAAACAAAGCAGTAAGTAACATGTTATTTCAAATATAACTATATTTCAATAATGTAGAATTATGTCCCTAATGAGAAAAATTAGATTACAAACATAACTTGTATACTGAATCTAAGGTCAATATCTTTCAAACTCAAACTATTTTGGAGAAAAAGAAACTTTCAATTGCTTTGAAAAAGCTATTCATTTCTCTTAATTTCCTACTTTCAGCTATAGTTATCCTTATAATGCCAAAAAGTTACTAACTGGGGGTGAGTGGGACATGCACTATACATTTATTTCTTACTAATTAACTATTAACACATTATATAAAAATTTAAACATTTCCATCTTTGTGGTCAAAATCGTTATATACTTTTGGGGTTTTTATCAGTACATTTACTTAAAATGGTTTGAAGCCCTAAGCCCAAACTAATGATACAACAGTGTTACAATATAATGTTTAGGAAGGTAGGTGTCTTGGCAGAGGGTGGGTTATTACATTAAGTTTAATATATTAACATTTAATATATTACTGGCAACAATAATAGAACAATTATAACAATATACTGTAATAAAAGTTATGTGAATGGCTTTGAGGCTATTATTAAGTTAAATGAGTGTTACCTGAACACAAGCACTGTAATACCACACAGTTGATCTGATAACCAAGACAACTAAATGGGTAGATAGCATATACAATGCAGATACGCTGGACAAAAGGATGATTCAAATCTAGGGTGGAAGGGTGCAAGGCTTCATCACACTACTAAGAATGTTGCACGATTTAAAACTTATGAATTATTTTTTTCTGGAATTTCCATTTAATATTTTGCACCACGGTTGACCTCCGGTAACTGAAACCACAGAAAGCAAAACTATAGATAAGGGGGACTACTGTGTTCCAAAGCTACTATATTATTACAGTTGGTTAAAAAAAAAACCATATTAAAATTTGAAGTAATTACTCAATTTCTCGAAAAGGTATTAAAAAGTGAAAAATTAAAAAATAGAAAAGTTAATGCTCATTATTGGTAGGGAGATATGGAAATGAGCATTCCAATACACAGTTAATGGGAGAGTATACTGAAACAATCTTTCTAGAAAGCAATTCGATATCTACCATAAGATTTTAAAAATAATTCTTTGTCTTAAGAATTCCATCTCTGAAAACTTAGGCTTTAAAAAATACTTCAGAATGTTCCAAGTTTAAACAATTTTATTTTCTAAAATTTCTTGAATTTCTCTACTTCTATTTCCTCCACCAACCTAATCCAAGCAATCATTTCTTACCTAACCCATTGCCTCAACCTCCTATCTGATCTTCCTGCATCCACTCTGTTCCCTGTACAATTAGTTCACCGTACAATCAAATATTACTCCCAACTTAAAACCCTTTGAAGGTATACTTTCCCTCTTAGAATGAAGTCCATAACATCATTTATGAGGCTCTGCTTAACCAGGTCCCTGAATACATCTCTAGCCTTATCTTACACCACTACTTTTAGTGTCCATACCACACTGGATTTAAGTTTCTTAGATATAATTTCTCTGCAACAAGGCCTTTGTACAATAACATTCACTCTGTTTGGAATAATATTTCTCTCTAAAATGCCAATCCACACCACCCAAAACCTCTTGCAATTAGTTAATTGCCAGATCAAGCAGCACTTTCTCAATGAGGGCTTCCCTAACTTTAGTCAGGATCCTTCGCTGTATTTTTTTGCAGAACAGTATTCCTTTCTTACAGAGTATTCATTTCAGTTATAAACTACATGTACAGCAATGTGGTTATATTTGATAATATCTGCTCTCCTGCTAGAATTTAAATTCCATGTGTTCAGTAACTTTGTGTTTTGTGGTCACTGTTATAACCAAATACCAAATACAGTGGCTGACATACATTAGATACTCAACAAATATTTTTTGAACAAAGTATTTTGCTATAAGGATACTTTATTCCCATGCTGTTTTAATAGGAAAAAAAATGTTAAACAGCCTATATGATCAACAATGTAAAAACTTGTAAAGAAATTACAGTGAATACATATAAACTATAGCCATTTAGAAATATATGTAGTCACACAGACACACAGGAAGTTAAAAAAAGCAGAGTTAAAGTTATTTTAACGAGGAAAATAATGTAATATGTATAGGAGTTTACACATGCATAAAAAAAAACAAGATGGCGACATAGGTAAACACCGGAAATTGCTGCCTCGTACAACCACTTCAAAAATACAACTAAAAGACAAAACAGACATCATCCAGAACCACAGGAAGGCTGTCTGAGTGGAAATTCTACAACTAGAAGGGAAGAGAAAACACACTGAGACTCAGAGAAGGTGCAGTGCGGATGTAAAGTGCAGAGATACGGAGGCGCACATGGAAAGGCTGGCAACTGAGGACTCCATTGTCTTTTTCAATCGGGAGGGTGTCTCAGGCTCCCGACTGCTCTGAACTCCAGTTCCCAGCGAGTCTCTGGGGATCCAGACTCATACAGTGAGAAACTGGACTGTCTGGCATCGGGTGGAACTCAAGGGCGGCTTTCTCTCAGAGGTGCTTGCAGTGATTACTGGCACAATGAGAGGCGGGGCCGCATAGGGTAGGACTGAGGAGCAGCCATAGCTGCAT